GTTTATTTATCTAGCGCGAACAATTTTTTTAATCCCTCCCGAGTTCAAGGAGAGGCTTTGCAGCTAGTGACATTTGTACCGCTGAGCTACGCTGTCTGGTGAATGTTAGTCCTAGGACAAAAATAGCCAACCCGTACATCTCCAAGGTTGGGAGGGTCTGATATGAGGTCTACCAAGCTCATTTACGTGCCATAATTTATGGGTTCCAAGCGACTCGGTGTCCTGGGTAGCGTTGCCAGAGGTGTGTTTGATTTCCATTTCTGAGAATTATTCCTCGGTTTTGATGAATCAATCTTTTTCATGTATTATTGAAGCTTAGTTATTCACTTCTTAGATTAGAATTAATTTCCTATAGCATGTGCACACCGTTTATAGCTCCTCAAAATTTCGTATTTTTACAATGTACGAAGAGCGCATAGGCTTTAGATGTTGATGTTTTCAATTCCGGTCCCTAACCACTTGACCTAACCTTTGAAGTATGCGGTTTAAAGTAAAATAAAATTAAGAAACAATTTAGGGGTAAAGTCGTGGGCTTTGATTTAATTTTTGATTGAGGCGTTCCAGTGATTTGTCTTTTTGAAAATGTCAGAGTTAAGGGAATGGTTATGGAGGACACTGTAAGCTTTGTGTTGCAGATATTCACCACGTCGGGGCTTTCGACGATGCGTTGTCTCGCTTCAAAAGCATGAAAAAGTCGATCCGACAAACATTCCGGAGAAAAAAGAAAACGCCTGTCGCTTCTCTGGATAACACCATTGTAAGTGTTATTTAGAAATGGGTGTGTGAGATTCGTCAATTTCGAGTTTCGAACGCATGGGTGGAATTTTCAGGGCACCGCGAACAGCGAGTCATCTACGAAGGAGACGTCCGGTCAAAACGTTCTCAAAGGTCTTCAGCGATAACGAGGACGATGAAGTGGTAATAACGAAACCCGTGGAGCGTCTCATTGAGGAGCGAGGAGCATGTCCACGTGCGTTCCCATCTCTAAAAATTAATTATCGTTTTTTTGATTTTTTTACAGCACATACAGATTTATTTTGGTTAGAGTTTGAAACGATTGTTGACCGATAACCAAGGCGCTTGATTCAGTTCACCTCTCCATACTTAATACCACAGTGCACATTGCCTTGGGTTTTCTCTCGTTCATACAGCGCCATTCTCCTTTTTCGTCCATTACTTTTTATTATCTGAAAATTTTCACGTAAGATATGCTATACCATCTTCCTAAGAAGCAAATCCAGGAAGGTTTATTGGTTTGCAATCTTTCCTTGTCCAATGTACGTACTTCACTCAAACATAATGTCTCTCATCAAAAGAGGATCGCTGTGATCATTAAATATTCGTCAGTAGACAAAGTTCATTTATACGTGTCCCCTAAGATGGTGGAGTTCGGAAGGAAATCAATATGCGAAAACTTGTTCAAGCGTCATTTTGAATTTTAA